TGTTTCTTCTTTTTCTGACCCTCTTTCTAAACTCAAGTTTCAGAGCCATTCTAGACTTCTCTGCCTTTACTTAGCAACTCATAGAAAGGAAAATAATATCCAATTAAGATGTCAGGATCTGTTTTTTTTTTTTGGAGAGGTTTTTGCTATAGGGCGCGTGCGCTTTCCAGACAGACAGAGAAAAATAGAGAGATAGAAAGAGAGAAATCAGCCCCCAGGGGGGATGGCCATGCTGCAATCCCTTCTTCTCCATTCTCCTCTCGGGATCTTGGGCATGCACGCACACACGCCTGGTGTGAGTTCAAGACACCAGGTCCGGGACTCGAACTGCGGTCGACTAAGTGGGAGTCCAGCGACATAGCCATTTTGCTAACTGCTGGTCCCAGGATCTAATATTAATATAGAATAGTATGGCAATTCTAAAATTATGCATGTTTGTATTAATACTGAAGTGCACTTGATACTTGCAACTATATTGTATTTGCTGGTTGTAGAGCAACGTTCTAGTGGAACTATTTATATTTCTTGAGGCTTTTATCTAAAACCATAAATAATCAGTCATGTTAAAAATAGGGCAAGGAGAGTGTTTTGAGCCAAGAAGTCATGTCTTAACCATTCCTATAGCTGACACAGTGTTGAGCTCATACTATATACTCATTAAATGTTTGAATAATGATGTTCTTAATAAATAAATTAGAGCAAGAAATGTCACTTATACTTTGATATTTGACCTACTTTTGAGTTCCTATCACTGGGGTGCTGTAACAGAACATTTTATACAGTTCGTTGGTTTTTAATTACATTTTACAATTATTTAATTTTTTTTATTAAAGAGACATTTTTGCTATAGGGTGTGTGTGCTTGCTGGAGAGACAGAGACAGATAGCCAGAAAGCGAAAAATCACCCCCTAGTGAGGATGGTCATGCTGCAGTCTCTTCTCCTACATTTTTCTCTTGGGATATCAGGCATGCATGCACATGTGCCCTGTGTATGTTTTAAGCTGCCAGGTCCAGGGCTCGAACTGGGGTCAACTATGTAGGAGTCTAGTGGTGTAATCATTATGCCATTCGCTGATCCTCTGTTATTTAATACACATATCGGGATTATCTAATTGAAAACTATTCCTTTACCTATCTTGTAACAAGAAATATTTAAAAAATAGTTTATGAACAATATTGTCCATTTAATTTCTCTTTTGCTCATAGTTCTCTGGGCATGAAGACCCTAATAGTACTTTACTACTTTTAAAACTGTCTTTTTTTTTTTTTTGGAGAGGTTTTTGCTATAGGGCGCATGCGCTCGCCAGACAGACAGAGAGAGACATAGCGACAGAAAGTGAGAAATCCCCCCCCAGAGGGGATGGTCACACCGCAATCCCTTCTCCTCCATTCTCCTCTCGGGATCTTGGGCACGCACGTACGCACACGTGCCCGGCATGAGTTTTAAGCCACCAGGTCCGGGACGCAAACCGCGGTCGACTACATGGGAGTCCAGTGACATAGCCATTACGCTAACTGCTGGTTCCCCTTTTAAAGCTGTCTTTAAGAGTTTTCCCCTAAAACCCATGGCCCGAATAAAAAGCCATATACCAGTATTTGACTTTAAAATCAATATTTTAACTAAGAGTTTTTCCATAATGTTGATTTTATTTATATGTTTGCTTACATGTTTCCTTTCTTAGAGAGTCAACATTATTGCAGGTTTTATGCAAGTAAGAGAATTATTTAGTACCATTTTAAGTAAATCCAGTGATTTACTGGGATAAAAACAGATGAACAAGATAAACCCCAGAGGGACCAGCAGTCAGTGTAATGGCTGTGTTGCTGAACTCCCATGCAGGTGACCAGGGCTCAAGTCCCAGACCTGGTGGCTTAAACTCACACCAGGAGTATGTGTGTGCGTGCCCAGGATCCGGAGAGGAGAATAGAGGAGAAGCGTTTGTGGAGTGGCCATCCCCCATAAGGGAGTGATTTCTCGCTTTCTGTCTCTCTTTGTCTCTTTGTCTTTTTGGTGAGCATACGCACCCTACAGCGAAAGCCTCTCCCCCCCCCCAAAAAAAAAGACAAACCCCAGAGAAGAGAGTACTAAGGGTGGTAGAAGAAACTGAGCAAGTATCATAAAAGCACTAAGCTCAGTTTCACAGTTGACTTATTTTAAACTTAAAGGATAAGATAAAAGCTACAGAATCAGCAAAAATAACAGTGCTGAACCTTTCAGAGAAATATGTACAAAAAATTTTGTAAACTAACCTTACTGAGACAGTGATCATAAAGAAAACGTTACAAATGAAATTAGTAGGTAGAGTGATACACCTTGATTGAGGCACGTGAGATTGATTGTTAGACATTGAGAGAGAGAAATATTGGAAAGGACACATAGAAATTATATTTGCCCATAATATGACTGGATATTTGGAAAACTTAGTGTCAGCTGGAAAATTATTAGGGACAGTAAGAGAATTCCATAAGGTAGGCACTTCAAATGTTAATGTTCTAAAATCAGTAGGTTTCTTTCTTCTTAAAAATTTGCTATTGTAGAGCACACGCACTTGCCAGAGAGAGACAGAAAGAGAGAGAAAGTGAGAAATCACCTCCAGGGGGGATGGCCATGCTGCAGTCCTTTCTCTTCCACCTTCCTCTTGGGACTTTATGCATGCACATACATGTGGCTGGCATGGTTTTAAAGCCACCAGGTTGGGGACTTGTACAACATAGTCAGCCCTGTGGGATCTATTGGTCTTCACCACTATGCTTCTGGGCCAGAAGTCAGTATAAACTACAAACTATAAAAGTCAGTAGTTTTCTTTTATACAAACTATAGCACATTAGAAATATCAATGTAATGGAAGACAAGGTCTCATTTAAAATAGCAATTGAATTTACCTAGAAATTAACTGACACAGTCTGAAGGCCACAAAGAAGAAAACTAAAAATCACTGAGGGGAAACAGTTGAATAAATGAAAGACATACCTTGTTTTAAAATTTGTACTATACTTGTGAGTGCAAAATGAAGTCGAATTATACAGATGATCTCAGCAACTTTGCTTATTAGGTGTGACTTGGGACAAGCTCCTTAACTTCTTTGAGCCTTAATTTCCTCATCTGTAAAATGGAGATCAATGACACTTACCCTGAGGCTGTTAGGACTGTTGATAAACTAATCAGATAGGCTTATTGTACACTACTCAAAAATGGCATCTATAATCATGTGTATCACTACTTACTGCTGCTACTAAGAGCTAGCGATGGCACAGTTTCAAATGGAGAAACTGAGTTTTTCCCTCTACTAATGTATAAACAAGTATGATTTCAGTTATAATCCCCCCAATGTTTAGGAGAAGTGATTAAAGAAGGATTCTCTGTTTCTCCTAGAAATTAAATGTGGGTTTAGCAAGAATTTAAAGGAAAAAGTGTGATTAAGGACTCCTACCAGGTTTTTAAAGGTATACTAGAATTACAGTAATAGAGAATTGTATCTATTTAGAGATAGACAAAGTAAAAGAATGAAAGAGAGAATTCACTCTTAGGCCCTTGTAGAAATAGTATATGCTGATAATGACAGTGAGAACAAAGACATTTCATATCAATAGATGGGAGAAATGTATTAGTAAATAATCTTGGAAAACTGGCTACTAACTAGGGCAAATAGAAAATCAAAGCAAAGCTGTTTTCTTTTTTTTTTTTTTAAACCCCTTTCTGTAATCCCAAATGAATTCTAAGATTATCAATGGAACTGAGAAGTACTAGGAGTATTTACAAGGGCAATATATTTTATTATCTTGTTCACAAGAAAGTAATTCCTCTTAAAGATTAATTTTTTAAAATTTATGATGGAATATGTGTGTGTGAGAGAGAAAGAGACAGAGAGAAAGAGAGAAATGAGCACCATCCACGGGGTCTGGTCATACCATGACTCTGTGCTCTAGGCCTTAGATCTGCCTCGTCCTGGGTGCTTCGGTGTAAACCCCAGCGTATTTCAGGTGGGCCAGGTGAGGAGTCCAACCACAGCTGCTGAGTGGCATCTGGATTCTCCTGAGTAGCGCATTACTACTATACTGTGAACTGGCCTGAGAAAGTTATTTTTAAGCAATGTCCCCAAATAAAATATACAAGATGATATAAAGAAACTTGATTGTATCAGCTTTTAAGTTACATATAGCAAAAAGCATTAAATAAAATAATACACATATCCTGGACAAAATATATTTGTAATACACATGTCAAGGAAAAGACTCCCAAAAACATTAAAATATTTTTAAAATCAGCAAGGAGAATAAAAGCCTAATTTAAAGAGTGGTAAATGGTGATGTACCATTACATGGGGAGAAGAAAAAAAAGAAAATGTCACCAATAAACATTTGGAAAAATTCTTAGCCTCACTTATAAGTGAAAATAAACTGTCAGGTGTATAAAAGAAAAATAATGAAGCTTGATAGTGCCCGTCATTGGTGAAGGACACTCATAAAGTTGGTTATTAGAAACAGAAATTAATTTAATGATTTTGGAGTTTGGCACTATTGCTTAAAATTTCAAGTACATATACCTGGTTGGCCAGGAATTCATGTTTAGGAATCTTTTCTAAAGATACATATGTTTCCAGTTTTCAGTGTCAAATGTAGAAGGACATTAATCACAGCATTGTACATAACTGCCAAACCAAATAGAACGTAAGAACA